CATTTGGGTGCTGCTGCCTTGACCAGTCCAGACTGTTGTTGGTTCCTTTACCTGTGATTGATGACAGGCTCCTTGGTCACAACTAGCTTAGTCCATCACCACCCCAACTCTTGAGCTAACCAGTGGGTCTAGAATTATCACAGGGTTTGGCTCACACATCCCCCATAGAATCTACCCCCAGATATGGTTCTCTCGAGTGCTAGTTAATGTCATGGCCCTGCCTAATGTGACCCGTCTCCTGATCCATCATCATGTCAGGTAATAGGATACGATTCTGCTATATAAGCCCGAGTCTTAGGTTTTGCATGGACTGCTGTTCAGTGGTCAGCATTGTTCAGTGATCATAAGTTCTTCAAAGGAAAAGTTATTCTGTTGTTGGGAATCTTTAGGATTGATTCATATCCCAGAGGCACAGTGGGTTCAATGTGGAGCTACCTTAGCAGCTATTTAAAGAATCAAAACCTCAGAGCTCCTGGTAGGGTGGCCAGCAGGCGAAGCCTGGCGCAAAATGGTGCCCAGGCAGGCCTGGAGACAGCTCACCATGTGCACGTGGTGGCTGGAATCAGGGATCTGGGCATGGAGACTCCCCGGCCTGGCACCCACCAGCAGCCAGTGGGCTGCCAGAAGTTTCAACCCCCAGGTCCAAGGTCACATCCCTCCCCAATCCCCCGTTCAATGATGGTGGCGTTGGGCCCCGGGCCTGCCCAGCTCCCAAGACTTCCCCCCTCAGTGTACTCACCCTGAAGGGAGCAGCCCCTGGAGCCCAGGCAGACCCGGGGACAGCTCACCACATGTACGCAGTGGCTGGAGTCAGGGATCTGAACATCAGTTCTGCTAAATGTTAATCCCTGTCTGCTTGCAGGAGCTCTGGGGTCCAAGAATGGAGCCTCTTCTGTCCACCATGACCAGCAGAAATGGTGTCCCGCTAACATCCCTAGTGATGCTCAACAACCCGACCATGTTGCCCACATGCCAATCATCACTGCCAAGACCTTAAGCTTCAACTCTTATGGAGCTGTCATTCTTTAAGGAAAACTCAAAAGCAAAATGTATGTGCACAGCACACAACTTCTGAGCCTTCAAGTCTCCAAGAAACACCCCAGATCCTCCTTCCGTTATAAGAAACCAAAACGGGGTGCGATGGCTCAGTGGCTAAATCCTCACCTTGCAAGCACCAGGAAGCCATATGGGCACCAGTTCGTGTCCTGGCTGCTCCACTTCCCACTCAGCTTCCTGCTTGTGGCCTGGGAAAGCAGTGGAGGATGGCCCAAAGCCTTGGGATTCTGCATCCATGTGGGAGACCTGGAGGAAGCTCCTGGCTCCTGGCTGATTAGCTCAGCTCCAGCTATTGGGACCAGTTAGGGAATAAACCAGCAGATGGAAAAGCTTTGTCTGTTTCTCTTTCTCTTCCTTCTCTCTCTCTCTCCTCTCTATAAATTTGCCTTTCCAATAAAAATAAATAAATCTTAGGGGAAAAAAAAAAAAAGATTAGAATCTGAGAAACTGGTTACACCGGTCTGTGACAACCACAATCCAAGGGAGTGACACGAAAGGCAGGAGTCCAGGGACCATGAAAGAAGAGACTGGCCAGAGGAGAGCCCAGACTGGCCCCCATACACTTTGCCGTTAGGTTCCACTTGTCACCACGTCAGCTAAGAAGTCATTTCCTGAGGCCCAGTGTGGTAGCCTAATGGCTAAAGTCCTCACCTTATGTGTGCCGGAATCCCTTTTGGGTGCCCCTGGCTTCACATCAGCTCAGCTCCAGCCATTGTGACTACTTGAGGAGTGAAATCATCGGACAGAAGAGCTTCCTCTCTGTCTCTCCTTCTCTCTGTGTATCTGCCTTTCCAATAAAAATAAATAAATCTTTTTTAAAAAAAAAAAAAATCACTTACTAGGCCCAGCACCATGACCTAGCAGCTAAAGCCCTTGCCTTGAATGTGCTGGGATCCCATATGGATGTCGGTTCTAATCCCAGCAGCTCCACTTCCCATCCAGCTCCCTGCTTGTGGGCCTGGGAAAGCAGTCCAGCATGGCCCAAAGCCTCAGGACCCTGCACCCATGTGGGAGACCTGGAAGAAGTTCCTGGTTCCGGGCCCGGCGTGGTGGCACAGTGGTCCTCGGCAGCCCCACTTCCCTTCCAGCTCCCTGCCTGTGGCCTGGGAAAGCAGTCGAGGACGGCCCAAAGCTTTGGGACCCTGCACCCGCGTGGGAGACCCGGAAGAGGCTCCTGGCTTCGGATCGGCATAGCACCGGCCGTTGCGCTCACTTGGGGAGTGAATCATCGGATGGAAGATCTTCCTCTCTGTATATCCGCCTTTCCAATAAAAAATAATAATAAAAATAAATCTTTAAAAAAAAAAAAAAGAAGTTCCTGGTTCCCAGCTTAGGATCGGCGCAGCACCAGCCGTTGCAGTCACTTGGCTACTGAATCATTGGATGGAAGATCTTCCTCTCCATCTCTCCTCGTCTCTATATATCTGACTTTGTAATAAAAACAAATAAATCTTTTTTTAAAAAATCACTTCCTGGTCATAGGTCAAGGAGAAGGCTTTTCCAGGTAGCCAGGGCCTCACGAAGGCACGTTCGCTCCATCAGTGATATGTCAGAGTGGATGCCCCAGCTTGGGAGGGAAGAGATGGGGAGCAAGCAGGCACTGTGCCAACAGGCTGACCTGGCCACTGTCAAAGGGCTGCTCCAGAAGGAGACTCAGAACTACTCACTCCCTCCTGTAAGTCTGTACTCACCCGCCTCACTCCCCCACAGAGCGGACCAGGTGGCCACATGGTGTCCTGCAGGTGGAGCTCAACCCATGAGAGGAAGCAGGAAGGAGGAAAGGAAAGTCAAGGCCACAGGCCAAAGGGCTGGAGGAGAAGTGGGTGTGGGCAGGGCAGGTGGACTGCGCTGCCGGACAGTGTTGATTTCCAGTAGCCCCTACCCCCCGCTCCCCAGCTCTCCATCACCCCACCAGGGGCTGGGTTAAGCTCCAGGGTCTGTGCCATTAGCAGAGTTCCTGTGTACCGCACAGGTGGTACCTCCTTATTATAGAAAGGTACAAATTCACAGAAGAAAACCCCAATGAACTGTCACTTGCCTCTGCCCACAGTTACCAACACATGGCTGTCCTGTTTCACCTACCAAACTTTTTGTTACTATTTTGTTAAGATGGATTCATTCTTTTCATTAGAAAGGCAGTCACAGAGAGAGAATCTTCAACCCACTGGTTCACACCCTCAAATGGACACAACCACCAGGGCTGAAGCACACCGAAGCCAGGAGCCAAGACCCCCCTATGTGGGTGCAGGCCTGGGCCATTTTTAGCTGTTTTCCCAGGCATATTAGCAGGGAGCTGGATGGGAAGTGGAGCAGCCGAACTTGAACCTGTACTCATAAGGGATGCCAGAGGCAGTTGCTTAACCCAGTGTGTCACAGCACCTGTCCCCTACCAGGCTTTTTTTTTTTTTTTTTTTAAGCTTTTTTGGTTTGTACCTGAGTAGTTGTAAGCAAATAACAGGTGTGGTATCAGCCCACCGGGACAATTCAACATGTTAAACAAAAATCACCAGAGGCTACCAGGTCTCCACACCATGTCCCAACAATACAACGCAAACCCAAAGGGGGCCACCCCTGCAAAATGCCACAGCATCAAGTCACAAGCTGTGACGGGCTCCAAAGCACGCAAATTCATCCTGTAGACGGGAGATCCCAGTCCTCACAAGTCACTGCTACGAGGAAGCCCTCCCGGCTTCATCCGCGCAGGGAAGGGCACGGGAAACAACCTGGAGTTGGCCCAGCGCTTTATTCCAGCCCCTAGCTTCCAAAACCCGTCGTGGGAACCTCTCAGGGTTTCCTGGAATCGCCCTCAAAACCAGCCCAATCTCCTAATGAAGAGACGATATTAAATGGAGTTTGGAAAATGACAAACATTATCCTCCCTAGCTTAACCACGACAGCTGCGGTCTTGAGCAAGGAGTTTGTGTCCGGAATCCTAGTTTCAAGGGGCAAGAACATGCAGACTTGTGGAGTCCTGGCGGGACCCGGGGGAGGGAGACTGAAACCCCTGGCCTGGTCCCCAACACGGGGCGGGGGAGGGGGTCTCGCACGCGTTACTGGCCAGAAGACAGAAGCCGACCGTTGCCCGCACGCCAGCCTCTGGCAGCGCAGGCCGGCCGCACGGTGGGCAGAAGATGCAGCTGGCTAAAGAAACATGGCAGCGGCGGTAATCGAATAGGGGTGGAGGGTGGGGGGCGCACGGAGGGCAGAGGATGACCTGGGAAGGGGCTGCTCCCACGGTCTACGGGGATAACCGGCCCGCCCCCCGCCGCCGCTCCCATCAGGGACCTCCACGTGGCGAGCCGGCCTGCGAGACGGGCTCAGTGCCCGCGCCCCGGGGACCGAGAGCAGGAAGTCGTCCCCGGCGGGCGCGGCGCGGCAGGTGCAGCCCTGGGCGACGCCCGGCACACTGCAGGAGGTGAGAGCCTGGTCGCCTTTGCTGTCCGCGAGTGCATTCCGGGACGCCGCAGGAGCTGCTCGCGCCTGGGCCCGGAGGGATGTGGTATTTTCTGGGACCCTGAGGGTTTGGGGTGTTGCATGGAGGCTAGGGATTCCGGGCGGGTAGCGGATGGATGCGGTGGCAAGGCGAACAGACTTAAGTCTAGCAGGGACTGGGGTAGGCTCCTATTTCTGGAGCTGGAGCTGGCGGGCGGAGAGGGGTGGTACTCGGACTTGGTCGGTGAACTAGCCGGGGTGCGGGTACGGGGAAGATGAAGGGGAGGAGGGGCACGAAGAAGCTTCTGGAACAGTGAGCTGGTGCTGCGGATGGCGCCAAGGTGGGGGCTGGCTAGGGGGTCTCTGGAAGCCGATGGTTTTCTGCTGCTTGCTGGGGTTCTGGGGGGCTAGGGAGCAGAGGGGCGTCCCAGATCCGGAGAGAGGGGCAGGTGGAAGCCGGGGCGCTGCGTCTAGGGGAGCAGGCGGAGCTGAGGCTGGACGCGGGAGCAGGATAGAGCCCCTAGTCCAGAGAAGGGGGTTGTGCATGAGGCTGGAGTCTGCCAAGGGCAAAAACTGTCCAGCGGGTAGCCGAAGGCCAGGACAGGGCGGAGACATCCTAGAGACCCACATCACGCGCCCATCCTCCTCCTCCTCCGGGCGCGCGGGCTCTTTAAGCAGGGGGCTGGGGGCGTGTCAGGAAATGCGGCCTGGACCCGCCCCGGCCGGGAGGCGGCCGCGGATGTCCGGCGCCAACCCGTGGTCTCGCCGGCCCGAGCAGCAGCAGCAGCAGGCCTCCCGACCTCCGTCCACCTGCGCCTGCTCTCATGAGTCGCTCGGACCGGGAGCCGGGTGTGCAGCAGCACCGGCGGCCTCACCCCCGTGCAGCCTGTGACCCCAAGAGGCCCGCGGAGGCGTCTGCCGGCCAGCCCCTGGGTCCCCGCTGAGGCTCCGCGCTCCTGCCTGGGGGGGCTCCGTTCCGGCCTGCCTTGACCCCGGGCTCCTCTGTCGCCATGAACAGGGCCCCGCTGAAGCGATCCCGAATCCTGCACATGGCGCTCACAGGGGCCTCCGATCCCTCGGGAGATGCGGAGGCGGGCGGTGGGCAGAAGCCATTTCTGCTGCGAGCCGTGCAGATCGCGCTGGTCGTCTGCCTGTACTGGGTCATCTCTATCTCCATGGTGTTCCTCAACAAGTACCTGCTCGACAGCCCCTCCCTGCGGCTGGACGCCCCCATCTTCGTCACCTTCTACCAGTGCCTGGTGACCACGCTGCTGTGCAAGGGCCTCAGCGCGCTGGCCACCTGCTGCCCCGGGACCCTGGACTTCCCCACCCTGCACCTGGACCTTGGCGTGGCCCGCAGCGTGCTGCCCCTGTCGTTGGTCTTCATCGGCATGATCACCTTTAATAACCTCTGCCTCAAGTACGTGGGCGTGGCTTTCTACAACGTGGGCCGCTCGCTCACCACCGTCTTCAACGTGCTGCTCTCCTACCTGCTGCTGAAGCACACCACCTCGTTCTACGCCTTGCTCACCTGCGGAGTCATCATTGGTGAGTGGCTGGGGCTGGGGCAGGGGGAGAAGCGGGAGGGTTGCAGCCCTACAGAATAACCCTGCTGGGCTGCTCTGGGCAGGCTGCATCCCTGCGAGGCCCAGGGGGACCAGCAGCAACCTGCTTAAGCTCAGCCAGCAAGGTAGGGGACCACGTGCTCCGGACGGCTGACGGTTGTGGCACCAGCAGCAGGTTAAGCCATGGCTTGGGTTTCCTCGCTGATGCACCTGCGAGGCAGGAGGCGATGATGGCTCAAAGCCCTGAGTCACCCACGGGGGAGATTGCCCAGCTTTGGCCTGGCCCAGCCCTGGCTATTGTGAGCACTTGGAAAGTGAACCAGTGGATGAGGAATTCTCCTTCCCACCCTCTCCCTCTGCTTCTTCCTCCCTCCTCTTCTTAAACTCCTCTCCTTCCTCCTCTCTCTCCCTGACTTGTAAATAAGTGAAAATGCATAATTAGCATTGTTTCAAAAAATGTGCCAGGCATGCTCCTGACAGGGAGGGGGATTTTATACAAGGAAAAGCCAAGTCATGGAGAAATCAAGGAACTTAGCCAAGATTCCACAGCATCTATGTGGAAGGGCAGGGATCACGCCCTTGGCCGCTGGGGAGTCCGAGAACTGTCACTGGTGCCCTGATCTTGCCACTGCCCAAAGGTCTTGTTTGAGAGGCCTCGGCTGCCTGCCCAGACTTGACCTTCAGAAAACAAGGAGTGGTAGAGAGACCCTGCACCCATTGCTGCTCCTGTACCATCTCCTTTCCCCCCCACCCCCACTGGGTGGGGATGTAGCCCTGTCCCCTCTTAGATGAGGAAAGTGAGGTGCAGAGAGGGGGTTGGCACAAGCTAAGAAAGTAGCCTAGGCTGGGAGCCCTCAGGGGCCTGTACTTCTCACCCTTCTGCCCTTGTGATCTGTCGGAGGGTAGAGCAGCAACCATCCGCTCCAAATGAACCCATTGCAGGTTTCTAACCTGATCAGTATCCACAGCTATTTTATGAGACAGCGGGCCCGATTAAACATTCCTATCATTGCAAGGTGCTTCATTGGGCGGCAGAGTCCGAGAAACCCCAGCCTCCTGTCCTCCGACTCCAAGTCCTCCCCTGGGCTCCGTCCTGTGGCACTGAGTTCCTGGGTGGCAGCTGTTCCCATTTTCTTTTTCCTAGTGCTGTGACAATCCCCTGATTTGGCCTACATTTCCTTTCTGGGGCCTCGAAGCACTAGGTAGGGGAAGATGGGACCCATCCCCTGCCACCTGTCCTAGAAAATGTGTCCCCTTGTTGAGCCACTGCTGTGTCTGGAACTGCTCAGTTATCTAGGGCCTGAAGGGACTGTGGAGGGGAGGTTGGAGTGGGAGGAGCTTCCCGAGACCCCTCCCCACAGAACTTGCCTGAAACCTGGTCCCCCACCCCTAGCTTAATGTCTCAGGCATCTCCATTGTTTATGGGTGTGAAGTGGGCAAGGATCCCCAGCCCAAGTTCCACCAGGAATTCATGGTGCTGGTGGTAAGACAGCGTGTGAGACCAAGGGAGCCAGAGGTCAGGGAGGCCAGTGCTCCCTGCTGCCCCAGGACCTTGTCCCCTAGCTGTTCCCTGTCTCCTTCCTTCCTCTTTGTGGAAAAAACCTCTCCTCCACCCCCACCTAACATGCCTGAGAATTCAGGTCCAGAGTCCAGTGCTACCGGGAGTCCTGGGGCTCAGGGTGCCACGTGCAAGTTCATGGCTTCATGCAGCCAGCACCACTGTCATTAGAGGAAGAACAGGATTTCTGCTTTCCCCCTTGGTGATGGGGGGGCTCCAGTGCTCTGGGCCATGTTTACCAGGGGAGACCCCAGGGCAGCATTGGCGAGGCACGGTACCGTAGTCAGTGAACTTCAGTGACATGCTGTGCCCAACCTTGCCCTCACTCTCCTCCTCTCCCCACTACAGGTGGCTTCTGGCTGGGCGTGGACCAGGAGGGGGCCGAGGGCACGCTGTCTCTGGCAGGCACCGTCTTCGGGGTGCTGGCCAGCCTCTGCGTCTCCCTCAACGCCATTTACACCAAGAAGGTGCTGCCGGCTGTGGATGGCAGCATCTGGCGCCTGACTTTCTACAACAACCTCAATGCCTGCGTGCTTTTCCTGCCCCTGCTGCTGCTCCTCGGGGAGCTGCAGGCCCTCCGTGACTTTGCCCAGCTCGGCAGCGCCCACTTCTGGGGCATGATGACCCTGGGCGGCCTGTTCGGCTTCGCCATCGGCTACGTGACGGGCCTGCAGATCAAGTTCACCAGTCCCTTGACCCACAACGTGTCGGGCACAGCCAAGGCCTGCGCGCAGACCGTGTTGGCCGTGCTCTACTACGAAGAGACCAAGAGCTTCCTGTGGTGGACCAGCAACCTCATGGTGCTGGGGGGCTCCTCCGCCTACACCTGGGTCAGAGGCTGGGAAATGCAGAAGGTTCAGCATGACCCCAGCCCCAAGGAGAGTGAGAAGAGCGCCATGGGGGTGTGAGCTCCTACGGACACCCCCAGGGATAGAGTCCAACTTGGGGGAACGGAGAGGGCATCATGGCCCTGCAAGGCGCTAGGGTGCTGCATGGCCATGCCCAGCAGAACCCAGTGGCTGCTGGCTCTCTCTCCTCCCCAGGAGAGCCCTCAGTGGCATCAGCACCCACTGCTGTCCCCTCCCTGGGGCCTGTCTACCTCCACCTCCCCTGTGGGGTCGGTGCGGCCTGCAGCTTTGGTTTGCAGTAGCAAACCCTGAAAAGTCCTCAGTCCTACTCAGGGTAGACCAGGAAGTCCCCCCACCACAGCCAACTGAGGGGGGCACAGCTCCAGAGCCTGGGTCCCTCAAACCCACCTTCCTTTGGCGAATGGCAGGAAATGGGCTGGTGCTCCCTCTCCCATGCTGAGACAAGGCCCACGGAAGGGGAAGTGGGGCACTGAGTGTCCTTGTGGCTGAACTTGGCACCACTCCTCTCCCCGTCCAGGGCATCTGTGAATGAGATGGATCCAGAGGAAGGGCTCCCCCCACCCATCTGCACCCAATCCTTGGGACACGAGACCCCACACGGGTTCTTCAAAGTCATGAACACTCCCTGACCAGACACCAGATGTCCCTGCTTGGCCTCTCGGCCCCTAAGGGGCCACCACACCCTCTGACCTCCAGCACCTGTTACTGCCACCTGGTTCAGGAAGGTGCCCCTCCCTTGTTCCAACTCCACCTCAACCAAAAAATCTTTGTCCCCGGGTGGGGCTGACAGAGCCCGGGTCAGGTTCCTGGTGCCACACCCCTCCCCCAGCCCTCAGCAGGGGAGGTGCTGTCACCTGACAGAGCCTGAGGTTGGGGCTAAAGGAACCTGCTTGTCCACCGTCTGGGTCCTTGGGTTACCAGGTGGCTCAGGAAGAGCAGGTGATTGTTCCCCCATCCCCTTGCTGTGTGTTCACCAGACAGGAGCACAGAGCAGCCCCCTGAGCTGGTCCCTCCAAGGGCCCTGCCTCCTCAGACCAGCAGGTGAACTGAGGGAGGGAGGCACAGATGGAGACAGTAACACCTCGTGACCTCGGGTGACTTCCAGCCCTGCCCCTCCTTGTGGACTCTTGTGCCTGGGTCTACTGGGGTGATTCTGGAAGTTTCTAGCATCCCCTTCCCCACAACCCCAGGTGGTTTTGGTGAAATGGGGGGAAGGGGAGTCGCAATGATGGCCTCAGCAGCAACGTGTGACTGCAGAATAAACAGTGACACGTCCTCTGTGTGTGGGGGCTGAGTGAGGGGCCGCAAGGCTGGAGGGGACTTGGGAGTGAGGCCCGTGGGAGAACTGCAGGTCTGCCCCGTCAGGCCTGGTTCCAGCAGGGCAGCCTTTGTAGGACCCCGGTCTCTTGGGGCAAGGACTCCTGGGGGAGGTAGGCAGGAGAGCCAGACCCTGGTTGTACACTGTGCTCACTACCCTCTATTTTCCCCAACCACAGCCCTGTACCTGTGCTAGGGAATCACCACCGAGCTCCCATTTCACAGATGAGGACACTGAGGTGGGGGGGCGGAGTCCAAGGGCTCTGCCTCCAGAGCATACCTACTTAACCACCACAGGATTTTCCACCACACCACGCCCCACCGGGTAACTCCTTTCTGCACCTAGCACCTTTTTGTGAGCTGCTAGTGCGGGCCAGGCATTGGGGTAGGCGGTGCTCACATGGAGGCCAAGTTGGCCACACGTGGTTCCTGGTAAACCCGCAACAAGGCCTTATAGCAGGCACCGCCATGGCAGCACTTTACCTGGAGCACGCGGGATGGGGTAACCAGGTCCAAGTGAGGGGCCAGTGCATCCAGCTCTTTTTCACCAAGGCCGGAATGTTGGAGCGCAGGCTCCCTGGAAGTGAACAACTCCTACAGCAGCACGGAGGTAACCGAGTAAAGCTGGGGATGGCGCACACCAGGGTATGCTGGGGGGCTTGGGGACAAGCATACAGAAAAGGCAGGGGGGAGTGGGATAAAGGGACCCTGAGTGCAGACTCAGTCTTTTAGGTGGGTGACCCCCAGCTAGGTCCCCTCAACAGCACAGGGACAGGGCCCCGCGACCCCCAGCTCATCTCTGTGGTTTCCCAGGGGGTCTAAGGTGACCTCCAGGGAACTAGATGTCCTCGGCAAGCCCCTGAGCCTTCTGTGCTTTGTTTTTCCTACCTGAGACATGGGGGTTATCCTTGTCCATCCCACCACACAAGACATGAACTAATGATGTCGAGTAATCGGCATTGTACGAGGGAGTCATGGGCTGTTACACTGACACCAACCAGCAACAGCCTATACTAACAATGCAGCCACAACTAGGGATATTGTCTCTGCACCACCTGGCTGGCCTCACACGTGCCAACCACACTCCCACCTGAATGCCTGGGGCATTCACACCCCAGATTTCCAAGACATTGGATTTTCCCCCCTACCAACCAAACTGAAGGAGTATCCCAGCCTGCTCTTATTTTTTGCACTTCCTATACCTTTTGTCTTTTTGTTTTCTGTCACTTTTCTCACACTGAGCCACTGTGCTATTCTGGGTCTCTCTGCTGGGTGCCTGGCTCACAGCGGGTACCCAAAATATTGATGGAAAGATGTCTTGTGCTTTTTAGATATTATAATATTAATATTCAAAAAGTTGCAGCCAGAAGCAGCTGAGATGAGATGAGGCAGGCTGCTATCTGGGCTGATGGCCTGGATGGAGCAGCAGGTGCTTTGAAGGCCTAAGGGCAACATGTGAACCCTAAATGTTCCTGCTGGCAGGGCATTCCAGAGTCATGCAAAGGGAGGATGAGTCTTGGACACATAGATACCCCTGCCTGTAAGGATCCCTTGCTGGCTGGAGGAGATGACACATGCCCATTTGTATCCCCACACATCACGGTAACAGTTGGGCTGTTACCAACGGATGGGCAAAAGAAGGGCTGTGCCAGGGGTGGCGTTGCTGCGCAATGGCTTAGCTGCTGCTTGTGACACCTGCAACCCACCCGAGCACCTGTGGGAGTCCCAACTGTTGCATTTCTGATCCAGCTCCCTGCTAATACATCGGAAAAAGCAGCAGAGGATGAGCCAAGTCTAGGCAAGGACAGCTCAAGACAGGAGGCTGGACTAGAGCCCCTGGCTCCTGGCTTCAGCCTAACCTGGCAACAGTTACTGTAGCCTTGTGGGGAGTGGTGGTTGAGAGGTATTTCTCCCAGTTCCTCCAGAACTCTGAGCAAGAAATCTCTTGCTTATAAATTACCCAAGCTATGCTTTGTAAAACCTTTAAGTGAAAAAAAAAAAAAAAAAAAGCACTGTATTTGAAAGAGAGAGACAGATCTTCCATTTCGTGGTTCACTCTTCTCTCCACTTCTCCTCCCTCACCCCTAAGTGCTCATTAACACCCAGAACTGGCCTGGCCAGCCCGATACACAGTCCACATCTCCCAAATGGAAGGCAGGGATGCAAGCAGTTGAAACACCAGGTACTGTCTCTTAGGATGTGCAAGTTGTACGTGCTGGAAGGTGTAACTGGGAATGGAGCTGCGACTCATACCCAGGCACTCTGATAAAGGCTGTGGGTGCCCAAGGGGACATGTTGACCACCACACCAAAGGAGTTTTGTTGCACTTCTCCTCACCAGATCCAACAGGCTGGCTCTTGGCCCCAATACTCTTTTGCCACCTCCCATGGAGGCCAAGTCTTCCACCCCTGATTTGGGGTGGGCTTCTATTGCTTCAACCGGCAGAAACAACCAGCAATAAAACTAGGGGACTGCAAGGCTGGGTCACAAAATACCATCTGATTTCTGTCTTCTTCCCAGGATACTCAAGCTAGGGAAAGCCCCCCAGCATGTGTAAGGGGGCTGTCCAGCCAGGGCCCATGATGCTAGATGGCCCCAGCTATGCTCCCCACTGACAGCTGACCCTGTGGCTCAAGTTTGAGCTATCAGGCAGCTACTGCAGCCCCAGCCCAGTTCTGACGGCACCTGCCTGAGACTTGAGACTGAAACCACGGAGTTGTGCCCTGCCTAAGACACATGATCATGAGCAGAACAAAGTTGCCTGGTTGGAGTTTAGGGGTAACATGTTAGGTGGCTGTCATATTCAAAATAGGCTGATTCCTCGATGCTGTGTCATTGCAGAATGACCTGAACATCTCCTGAATATTGCAGAGTCCTAACCCAACTAACCCACAGGCTCAAACTCCCAGACCTGGGCCCATCTCTCAATCTTAGTCCTCCCTGGCCTTTTGATGGCAAATTCCTTCCCCATAGTCTGGGCCTTGTCCATGAATCCTTCCTTGGTCTTTCCCCAGCCCACCACTGCCCCCAGTTCATCCCTCTGAAAGGCTATTGGTTTGTTATTATTATTATTATTATTTTATTGGAAAGGCGGATATACAGAGAAGAGGAGAGACAGAGAGGAAGATTTTTCATCCAATGATTCACTCCCCTAGTGAGCTGCAATGGCTGGAGCTGAGCCAATCCAAAGCCAGGAGCCAGGAGCTTCTTCCGGGTCTCCCACGTGGGTACAGGGTCCCAAAGATTTGGGCCGTCCTCGACTGATTTCCCAGGTCACAAGCAGGGAGCTGGATGGGAAGTAGGGCTGCCGGGATTAGAACCAGTGCCCATATGGGATCCAGGAGCGTTCAAGGCAAGGACTTTAACCACTACACTATCGTGCCAGGCCCAAGGCTATTGATTTCTGCTCCAAAGAGTTACTCTACCTGGCTCTGGCCGTACTGTCCCCCCACTGAAAGCTGCAGCTTTCCTTGCCACCAGCCCTACAGGCTCTGTCACTTGTCATCCTTTTTGTGCCTTTACAAACTTTGTCTTGAGTGTCAATTCTTACTTCTTGTCAACAGCAAGAAGAACCTTCTTTAAACAACAACAAAAAAAGGATTTTTAAAAGAATATTTATTTTTATTAGAAAGGCAGATCAGATTTACAGAGAGGAGAGACAAAGAGATCTTGCATCTGCTGGTTCACTCCCCTAATGGCTGCAATGGCTGGAACTGAGCTGATCCAAAGCCAGGAGCCAAGAGCTTCTTCTGGGCCTCCCATGCAGTGGCAGGGTCCCAAGGTTTTGGGCAGTCCTCCACTGCTTTCCCAGACCATAGGGTAGAGGATTAACCTGTTGAACCACTACACTGGCCTCTAGAGGAACCTACTTAAAATGTAAATGTAAACAAAGCACCATGGCCTCGGGAAGAAATCCAAACCTCTTGGGACACAGTCACGGGGTGTGGCCCCCCACCTTAGAGAGGTGCCATCCAAAGGAGCCACTGACTTGATGTGTCATCGTAGAGGTGAGAACCTGCTCTCTCTACCTCCTTTTCTGGCTAGGATGTTTGTCCTCCCCTGCAAGGTGAGCGTCCGAAGGAACAGAGGTCTCTTTCTTTCTTTTCTCTTTTCCTAGCTTATCTGGGCCCAGCCTAATGAAGAGTGATGTAAGCAGAAGACTTTCAGGAGCCTCTAGAGTGGACAAGGCTGGGCACGGTCCACAAACAAGGCTCCACCCAGGCTGCTGAGCCCCCAGTGTTACAATTCCTCCACCAGGCTGTCGCCCAGGACTCACCCTGGACTTCCATGTGGGAGCTGGATAGAAGCTTCTCAGAACAAAGCCTGAACTGATTTGTCAACTGAGCAGACTCCTTGCTTGATCTCTTTGTCTTTTTTTTTTTTAAGAGTTATTTATTTTATTGGAAAGAGCTGAGCTGAACTGATCCAAAGCCAGGATCCAGGAGCTTCTTCCAGGTCTTCCACATGGGTGCAGGGTCCCAAAGCTTTGCACCATCTTTAGCTGCTTTCCCAGGCTACAAGTAGGGAGCTGGATGGGAAGTGATGCAGCCAGGATATGGACCAGTCCTCATACGGTGTTGCAAGGCAAGAACTTGAGCCACTAGACTACTGATTTTTTTAAAGA